AACCTCACCCTTCACTCTGCAGCTTTAGAGCCCTTTAAAAAGCAGGCCAAGGCCATCCACCTTGAATTTTAACCGTAAAGCCTCAGGAGTGTCCACAGGTCAACATCTTCGGTGGAGCTGAGATATATTGTCTGTTAAAAGTGGCTGGTGATTCGTTCCTCCCCACTGAAAGCTTTGTTGACTTATTTTGCTCCATAAACATCAATGCACCCTTTCATCCTCAAATCTGAAAAATCATTTCCTATTCACTACACAGCTTGAAGGCAAAGATAAACGGATATAAATGACTTAGGATTTAGCCGCTGTTTGTTACATCCTTGGGAGTGGTCTCTGAAGATGAGATTTCATCACAGTGGACAAGCTGGCTACTGTCTGAGTACAAATTCAACCAGGCATTCAAGTCCAAGGACCAGAGAAAGAGGTCAGAAAAAGCAGGAGGGCAGATTTTATTTTCCTCTCTTTCACTGAAGCACTGATGGAGTGTTCTGGGGGGGGGGGTTCCCTTGCAAAGGCAAAGGTGACTTCAACAGAAGTTGGATGCCCTTTCTCTACAAAAATGAATGATGCCATTGCTCCTTCTATGGCCACAGTCAGGAAATCTAAGGTTCCTCTGAGACCCACTGCGATCATTTCATCCCAGCACCTTTATCTTCTCCTGATGAACAGGGAACCATCAGCAGACTGTACTCTCCCAAGCTACCTGGCACCAACATCTGTGGCCTCACACCCACCCCACATGAGAAAGTGACATCTTCCTCCTGACACTTTATGATGTATGAGCTCAGTACCTCCCGTGACCTCCCAGGAAGTTATTCTGCATGAATTTTTAGGGGTCTGAAGATAATAAATTAATCTCAAAATAACCTGCAACTGAACGAGACCAATTCACGCAGAGCAATGCTCTGCTCGTTCTGAGCTGAGTCTTTAAGAGGAACGGCAGCTTCTGCTCTGGACCCTTGAGCCTCATATAAAAAGTCTGACTGCTCTTCTGGGAAGACCACTTGGATACCTCCTGAAACTATGTGGAGAGGAGGAGATGCTCAGTCATCCCATCCAAGCTCCAAGCTTATGAACAAAATCATCCTAGGTCCTCCAGACCAGCCCAGTTGCCACCTGAATGCCACCAGGTGACCCTGGTCAGAGCCTCATGGAGCAGAAGAACAATTCCTGCCCAAGTTTCTGACTCCCTGAAAATTGAGAGACATAATAAAATAGTTGTTATCTGAGGCCATGAAATTTGAGGGGTAAGTTTATCATACAGTGACTAGATCATTGGAACAGTTACAAAGGTACAAATCTTATTATCCTAGAGTTGGTAAAGTTTGGAATGAGCACTAAGTGTGTAAGGGTGTAGGTTGGTGAGAGGAAGCTGGAAATAGCTGAGAGCTCCCAGGTCCTCTGAGGTCAGCACCCCTAAACATAAGTATTCTTTGACCCATGTGGGGTCCCTTAAATAAGGTAGTAATTACTCAGGGCTTCATTTCTTCGCTTGTAACGCTGGGAACTTACCTCCCTCCAAGATGGCAGGTACCCTTGCTCTTGCTGGCGACATTCAATTGAAGAAGACTCCCATTTCCTATTTTTCCCCTCTCATAACTCTGGGCATGATTTTAATCATAAATCCAAGTGCAACGTAATCAAAGAAAGATAGATTCAATTTTCCAAAAGGGCTGAGAGCTATACTAAATACTGCAGATTTGCAAGTATTCCCTGAGCACTGGGGTTTTTATCTGAATGTATTTCAGCAAAAGCTGCCTTTGGTATAAATCTCTAAAAATACGGTAAGAGTCACTCCTGCTTGGAAAAATTTCAGTTTTCATCTTTTTTTTCCCCTCTGTCCCTTCATATCAGAAGGCTTTATCTTTTTCCTCTTCCCTCCGATGTGGGTGTACGTCTGAAGTCACACCCTGATCACACCAGTCAATGTGATGCAGAGTCTGCTAACAGAAGTCAGAGGTAGCAGAGGACAGTCGAGTTTTATATTACCGCCATTCGTCAACATTCCGACAGACTATTCTATAAAGAGGAGAAGAGTGAAGTCCCCTTGCCAAACTAAACATGACTTCCACGGAAGCTCGGGTGTCCTGACCCTCCCAGGCTGGGAGAGTCAACAGATGCACAGCTCTGGACAAGACTAACTCTGAACTCACAGAAATGCTGTCTTCCATCTTTCCAGCCTGGTATTCTAACCCTGGACAGAGTACCTATATACATTTTATAGGACAGAATGACTCCGGAATCTTGGAATATGCCTTCAATCTGTGATTCCCAATGGAGAATGGAGAAGGATCACATCTGAATGATGAGGAGAGCTTTTTTTAAACCACATCTGCCTAAAGGCAAATCTTTCCCTCGAATCAGAATCTCCTGGAAAGGACCCTTGGGCAGTCCTTGCAGGAGCTCCCCAAGGGCTTTCACAGGTGCAGGAGTGAGCACACGCGCGTGTGCACGCACACACAAACACACAGGCATTTTCTCTCTCTGCTTAAAATCAGTGTCTTGAGGAATCCTGATAAATCATCCGTACAACCATCTAAACACCCTGGGAACCTATTTGTAGTCATCCTACCCTTCTTCCTCTAGGAAGTGCACCGTGAACTATGTGTCAAGTGACACAGTACTCAAAGGGCATCGAGACACTTCTGAGGCTTTGTTCTTCTGAGCAGTCGAGCTCTCTAAATAGCTAAAGATCTGCCCATTTATGCACCAAGTGTTTTATTTTTCAAACTAACATTTCAGCAATTTGGGATACAAAACTCTCTAGTATTTTACTACATGTGTTCAGTTTCCTGAATACAATTTAGGCTCATCTGCATAATTCAAGGCCCTTATCATAAGCATCAGTTTCTGTCCCGGGACTGGAAGGGGGAGTGTGTTACTGAATGCTGCAAAGACTTCCAAATGCACTGAAGGCAAGTAGAACGTTGGGGAATAACAAGCCAAAAATGGGACTCCAAATAAGGGGGCGATAAGCAGATGTCAGAAGCCAGGGAGGGTGCCACAGAGATAAAGAGTGAGTTAACCATAAACAGGATAAGATGAAGGAAAACTGTCCACAACAGGCATTGCATTCTGCGATTTGATCTTCTGGGCTGGCATCATGGGGCTGCACGGGCAAACATCTCAAGTCTAAAAGGTCCTCAGCTCTAGCTAGAGTGTCTTCCTCCAGCCCTCCTTCTAAGTCAGTCTTTAACTTCTTGTGGTCCTAGAGAGGGCCGAAGGCTGCCTTTCCAGTGAGTCAGCTGTGTGTGTGAGCCCTGCGTCCCCTGTTAGGAGGCTCAGGGATCTCTCTGACTCAACTTCCTGGACCCTGGCTGTGTTTCAAGAGGTTGGATTGCTGCAATGCTGAGCTCCAGAGTGATAAGGAGTTGTTATTCTTCCTTATTTTCCTCTAAAACTACCCCCTTCCGGAGTCCCGCGGTCAGTGTCAGTGAACCAGTCTACTTCACACTCTGCATAAAATAAGCTTGCACTGTGGGCTGTATCTTTCCCAGTTGGGGGACTTTCGTTGGTACAGAGCTTGCTGTTCGTGTCATGGGGCGGCCAGGGCTGCAGTAACCTCTGGGATGATACACATCCACTAAGAACTCAGTAAGGTCTGCTAAATTACCAGCCTCCAGGGACAGATCCCCTCCCGGAAATAAGATGGCCTTTGGGAGGAAGACAGACCACTAGTAATCCGCTATCAGAGGCCACTCCTCGGATCATAAGGTCAGGAGCCAAACAATAACAGTGATTTAGCAGCTTACGTTACAGACAACAAAACCTCAGAGAACTTGCCTTCAATTTACTGAAGCCATGTAATTGAAACAGGGCCAGAGAACCATCTGTGATGCTGTCATCTGTACAGAGAGGCATGTGAGACAGATTTAATTGAAAAAGAAGAAAAGAGAGGACATGGAATCGGGTTTTGGTTTTTATTTTTTAAATCCCCTTGCAATAATTCTGCCTACCTATGTTCAAGATGTTTTTTCAGAGAACTCAATCATTGCTTTCCCTCCAAATATCACCCCACCTTCTGGCCGGCCTGGTTTTGCTTATTTTTCTACTATTCTGGATGATATTGAGGTAAAGACATAGGGAAGGATTTGCTATGAGCAGCAAGTGTGGGAGTCAGAGCCGAGAACTCGTACCCCAGCCCCACCACTTCCCATCTGTGTGACCCCGGCCAAGTGGCTTCATTTCTCTGTGACTCAGCATATTCCTCTGTAAAAAGGAGAAAGAATACAGCAGTGGGAAGAATACTTGAAACGAGTGAAGGCGGTCAAAAGGTACAGAGTTCCAGTTAGAAGATGCGTGAGTCCTGGGGATGTAACGGGCAGCAGGGTGACTACAGCTAATAACACTGTATTGAATATCTGAAAGATAAGAAGGTAAACCACCTAAAGCTCTCGTTAGAAATGAAGATTCTGCTCTACATTCTGCGCATTCTGATTTAGTAAGTCTGGGGTAGGGCCTGAGATTCTGCATTCTTCACAGCTCCTAAGTGACGCTCATGCTGTTGCCCAGTAGCCCACTTGAGTAACAAGCTGTTAAGAACAGCTCTCAAATCTCAGTGACTCAGCACTGCGTCACCATCACCATCGCCATTATTCTCATCCTCATCCTCATCTTTTGACACAGTGGCTCAGCAATGGTACTGAGGAGGTGAGACGTCAGGGCTGCCTGAAATAACGGAGGACGGGGTAAACCAAGGATGTGCATTTGGTGGGGGCTGGAGGTGGGAAAAGGTGGGTAGAATCAGAGAGGAAAAGGAGGCAGGGTGAGGTTAATGAAGAGACAAGAGGTAGCAAAGA